GAAATATGGGACCATTCAGGAAAAAGTCTCAATTCTTGTTTCTGTTTTTAAGAAATTCAGTTTTATTACAGTTAACACCCCAAATATTATAACATTTTTAACAAGGTGTTACCAAGAAAGGTATGCTACTGATGAGTTTTAATGAACATATAAAAATTCATTTTAAATTATACAAATGCAAGGTATTCTTTTTAAAAAGTTCATATTATAAAGCTTTAAAATATAGGCTGGATGTGGTGGTTCATCCCTGTAATCCCAGCCCTTTGGGAGGCCAAGGCGGTTGGATCACTTGAGGTCAGGAGTGGAGACCAGCCTGGCCAACATGGTGGTAACCCCATCTCTACTAAAAATACAAAAATTAACCAGGCATGTTGGTGCATGCCTGTAGTCCCAGCCTGAGTAGGAGGCTGAGACAGAAGAATTTCTTGAACCCAGGAGGCGGAGATTCCAGTGAGCTGAGATCGTGCCAATGCACTCCAACCTGGGTGACAGAGTGAGACTCTGTATCGAAAAAAAAAAAAAAAAAAAAAAAAAAAAAAAAAAAAGGCCTCTTGGTAGAATCATGGAACACAAGATCAGGAAGGGCTCTTAAAGGCCATGCCATATAGTTCTTTCATTTGCAGATAAAGAAAAGTTTAAAAGATTTGCCTAAAGCACACACAAGCCAAGATCAGGACATGGATTCTAATCAATTCTAGAACTCTCAAACCAGGGCTCTTTCCTCTATCTGAAACTTAATTTTTTTCATAGAACATAACAAAGTTGCTACTGGATTAATTATTCCTTGTGTAATCATTATGAATTCTGAATTAGTGGTATATAATAAAATTTTACATTCTTCTCTTATCCATCCAACCAGTCATCCATTCATTCAAAAACTATTATTGACCACTAGTTATCCGTGAGGCAGTTTGCTATAGCACTATAAAGAGGAAAATGAACTGGTTTCTTGCTTTTAAGAAATGTGTAATTTAGTTACATTGTAAATTACTCCTTATCACAATAACAGGTCATCAGAATTAGTTAGCCAGTGTTATTTCTGTATTTATTCATAGTTTTAGTAATTAACTTTGGTTAGCTTTCTTTCTTGTTAGCTCTAGTTTCACTAATGAAAATAATGGAGCTTTGTAGTACAGAAAATTACAATGTAGGACCCAGGGATGGGTAAACACACATTTTAAAACTTAGTATTATGTAAATTAAAAAAAAGAAAAGAAAAAAATAGATACACCAATTCTAGTTGTATTAAAATAAATTTTTCATTAAAATTTTGGAATACTTTTTATAAGTATTTTTGTAATTTTAATTATTTTATTAAGGCATGGAAGACAATAAATATATATACTGCTGGTGACAAAGAAATTTTACCTTTTACTTTTAAGGAATGTTATCATGGCACTTAGTTTGACATAGATGTTTACTAATTTAATGTAAAATTCGTAAGTAACTATTTTGAATAATTTGGTATATTTCAGACTCCGCTGAGATACACAAAGACATTATTG